TTGCACACGCCGCAATTTCACGACGCCTAATCCAGCTGTTTGCTACCCTCCTACTTCCCCATACTCTCTACTCCCGGTCGCTGGTGAACGCTGGTGGACGCTGGTAGACGCTGGCAGACGCTAGATCGATACTACACCTCCTTTCCCCTCGAGTACTTCCAAGCCGTGACATCGCGAGCAATAGCCAAAGCTTTTCCTAGCTAGTTGACTAGATGGGCACAAACTCAGGTCAGAGACAGGAAGGCGAAATACCAAGGTTTGGAATGTGTTGTTCCAAGCTGTCACCTTGCCTGGAAATTATAAAAGCAAAATTTGAAAAAGACAGCAACCATTAATTTCCTCAATTTAATGTGTTCACGGCTGATGCTTATGAACTGCTGTTTATTGTGTAACTTCTTAGAATCGCTTCATTTCAAAATCAGTCTAGAATAATTGCAGATTCGCTGGCTAATTTTTTCCAGGTTGGTAGCATTTCGTGGTTTGCGTAGCATTGGCTCAGGAGACGTTCTTTTGCTATCGGAGGCTCGTATTATACCTCCATATCGTGAGTCGCCCTATTTCTCTCTTTGAACCACCCAATGTTTCTCTCCCCGGAAATGCATCGTTTGGAGTTGGTCTGGCTCTACATCCCTGAAAAAAATATTTTTACAGCAATGACATGGAAAAACTTCAACAGTAAAACATGGAAATTGCATAAGAAAACGGTCCGGCTTTCGTACGCTCGCATGATGATTGCTGGCTCGTTCTTCAGTGGAGCACTTGACTACGAATCACAAGAAGTTCAAAATATTCTCATTATCGGCCTAGGTGGAGGCATCATCAATAATTTTTATAGTACAATTCAGGATTTGAATGTGAGTACCGCTCCTTTTCACTTCCACTGTTATTGATATAATAGAGGCTATTTAATCTTCACTGCCCACTGCTCAAATTCAAGCCAGCTTTGAATGCAACAAAATGTTCCTTCTGGTGAAGGTAAAGACAAAATAAACAGCAGCCATATTTGCGGCACTGCGCATAGAGCACGTCTATTTTCGCGAAGAGCGGATTGGATATTCGTAGACAAAGCGTCAGACTCCCTAAGACAACTATGCAGTAGGTCTACCTGAGGTGAAGTAACACCGCCGCTGGAAACTTAGAGCCACCAGGATCTTTTTTAGGGGTAAACCTTCCCCATTTTCCGAGACATTCTCCTTCAGTGAAAAATTTTGATTAATCTGACCATACTTCAAAAAAATGGGAGGTTAAGGATCCAAGTGGTGCCACAAAATATAACCAGAGTGACATCGCGCCTTCTCGAAGTAAGGAGGAGGAGGAGGAAGGGGGGGGGGTTGAGCTCTAACTTTTAGCGTGACTGCCGCGCTCGGTCCAGCAACAGCACTTCATGGAACTAATCAACTCGTAGCATTCCAACGTTTCGCAAAAAAAATCCTTTCGCTGAAGGTTTGGACACATTGTTTTTCTCCCCCAAGCAAGCGAAATCGAGCGGTATTCGGTTTAATAGGGGCACCTTGCACTGTCACTCATTTCTTTTGAAGTCGTATTAACCGATAGGACTCACTTTGATAAGATGTGAGCTTTTGTCAAGCTGCGAATTTATTGCAAAAATCAACAAGTCTTCACTAGGTAGCTTTACAAGTTCGCTCATCTACGCATTAGTATCCCCATACGGCCGAACTAGGCGTTCCGAAAACTGTCTTTTATTAATTCAACATTCTTGTAAGTCGCAATGTGACGAAACCGTTAGACAATGACGGGCGTCGATGGGAAAGTCACTTGCTGAAAAAATGTAGAATCAAAGAAACTCAACTGCAGAGGGTTAAGTTGACGTATGGGCTCTCGATATATTCGTCAAGCAGTAAACAGAGGTATGTAATGAAGTACCGAACAACATTGCAGCGTTGTTGGACGTTAACGAAGGTACTTCTTTTCAGGAGAACTGTTTGATGTCCTATTGATTGACGTCTCGTACAACGAGAATCGGCCACTGATGGCCCCAGTGGAGGGCTTTCTCGACTCCGATGAAATAGAGAAAATGAACGAAGTGATTAAGAAAGACGGTACAAGTCTCTGATGTCCTGTGAAATCACTTTAACCCAACGGGAGAATTTCGACTGGAACTGAATGACGCCACATTTTCATGAAAATTCCGGAAAGCGTAGGACAGTTAGGTTCCTGTCATCCTTACTATTCTCACAAAAAGGCAAACTATAAAGTTGCCTCCGTGGTTCTTCGCCCCTGCCGTGTGCGATAAGTGGTTCCGCAGCTGTAGCAGATTGCCACCTCCCACTCAGGTATGCACGGGAGCGGTGGAGTGCCGTCTTCACAGTCGCACAGCGAAGTCTCACGGCGAACCAGGCGCCTAACATAGCCAAAAGCACTGCTTTTGTGCAACATAGTTCTTCTGGTTGCTACCTGGACGTGACTGCGTATTCGCTGCTGAATTTCGGTAGCAAATGTTGCACCCTGAGGATGAGGTGAGCAGAGTCCCAAGCGGCACCCTGGGATCACTACCCTTGAGTCTTATTTCTATGTGCTGTCAAGTGAGAAATGATTACACTTGTCACGTGCCAACCCGTTCTTCTCGCACATGGCACGGACCGCTTGACGGGTGTGAATTTTTAGTTTATCTTCAAGGCTGCGTTCATACTTTGCGGCAGCAGACAGCAGCGACCAATAGCGCCCACCAGCTTTCTGAGCAAATAGCAACGGCTAGGAAGGTATGAGTATCGATCTAGCGTCTGCCAGCGTCCAGCAGCGTCTGGGAGTGAATAGTATGGGGAGATATGGGCAGCAGACTGTTCGTAGAGAGTATGGTAGAGTATGGGAAGGTGGGTATCACTCTGCTGATAGAGAGTGGGGCGCGATAGGAAGGTGGCAAACAGCTGGTACCGTATAAAAGATAGGAGGGTAGCAGGCTGCTGGTGGAGAGTATAGAGGCGATAGGATGGCGGCAGACATCGGTGCACTTCTATGCCCCATACTATCTAGCCAGCAGTCTGCTGCTGGTCGCTGGTAGATGCGACAGACGCTAGATCTATCTATACTTTCCTAGTCGCTGACGCTGCCGAACGCTTGGAACGCTGGGGGACGCTACTGGTCGCTGGTGGACGCTGCTGCAAGGGATGAACGCAGCCTAACGGCTACATCCCGCTCCCACATTCACAATGAAAGGGCGTGAAGACGCTCCCTATGAGCTCAAGATATGGAATGCACATTTTCCTTTGTGCGCTTTGGAATTTTTAGCAGTATTTATGGAGTAAGCGTTGAGCACACATCAAATTGCAGGAGCAGTGATCGTGAATGTAGTCACTCGCCATGAGAATATCAGTGAAGCAGACAGGGTGAGTTCTTTAGAATTGTTCACTCTGACCAAACTCT